ATTGTCGGCTCAAATGAAGGATTGAAATACGACGGAGGGTTTTTCTCAATGTAGGGCTCATTGGACAGGAGATAACCACATTTGATTCTGTTGCTTTGAATAATGTTAATCCCGAAAAAAAGCAAAGTCCATTATTCATATTCATCTCTTTTCATTTGCCCCCACTCCTGATTTTGTAAATATGATTTCTTTAGCCCCCACCCCCTCCTTTTTTCCTCTCCAAAGCAATCTTTATTCACCGGTGAAACACTTTTGAAATTCCTCTATCTGAGAGCAGAAACCATTACCATACACAGGTTTAGAAGAGGTAGTCATTAATGCTCCTTTATGGTGGCCCTTTAGTGCCAAAAAGGAAGCTTTTAATTCTAAGGCAGGGCTTCCTGGCATGCCATACTTAATCCAGGAGACTGGGGTTTGTCAAATGTAGTATTACAAGTGTCCCCCCCCCCTCCCTCCAATACTGACTCAGAAATCACTACCTGAATCTGGCTGCAAAAACTGCAACTGTAACAAACAAACATGATAATAATCATAGTTTTTTAAAGGTATGAATATATGCAGGGCACTCGAATGAGAGAATTCAACTTTTAGTCCCCCCTTCATTAATAGAATATATCATTTTAAACTCTGCAGTTTTCGGTCCCATTTTTTTTTTTAGTCAGCACATATGTTGGCATTTTGATTTATTAAGCAATCTGAAGTGTTGAAAATGTGTGCCCTTGCCTAGTTACTTCTTTATTTTGTATGCATGGTAACTTATGGCAATGATGAATTAATTTCACTCAAGCACAGAATCTGTGATTATTTTAAATGGTAAGCATATCTCGTCTTGATCAGAGAGCTGTGAGGAGTCAGCAGACTGTGAAATGTAATTTCTATTATTATGATTTTTCCCCCCCCCCTCCATATTTTGATCTCACAATCCGAAAGAATTCCAGCCTGCCACCTGGAATGTGAACTGATAATGAAGGGGACGTCTGGGATCACAGATTTACCGGTCATCTTTTTTTTCTGTTCTTCATTGTCATCTTAATGAAAACATTTTTGCAACACATGCAAAAAAAAAAAAAAAATTAGGGAGTTAAAAAAATAGCTTGAAGCCCAGTGTGTGTGTTAACAACCTAGGTGTGTGTATGTGTGTGTTAAATTCCCCAGTGTTCCCCTGACAGAGTTGGAGCACAGCAGACAGCTGTGTATTCCCACTAGATGGATGGCCAGTGTCATAGTGTGTGTTTACTGCACATGATAGAGCGGGAGACAGGCCAGGTAATGAGGCTACATTAAGGGCTTTTAGAGCTCGCAAACAAAGATGGAGGGCTGCTTCTTTCCCCTTTAATGATAGGTGTGTGTTTGCTGTGTATGTGCGGAAAAGAGAGAGTTGTGTGTGTCTTTGAGGCAATGAAAGGCTCAATTCTCCTTACACCTTTGTTATGTCACTTCTGGGAAGAAAGAGAGAGAAATTCTCCCAATCTCGGGGCCAAATGCATCGTCAGGACCCTTTTCTCAGATTCCGCACCTGATGGAAGAGACAGATTTGCGTAGTTCAAGATTCGAGGGTAAATATTTGCTCAAGCTGGAGAGGAATAGCAAGCAAGGGGTATGGTTGCACAAGGAATGAGACAAAAGCTGGTGTTGGGCTGCAGCTTTGCAAATATAGTGTCTGCCTGTGTCTTAGTTTGCTTAATCAAGAAATGCCTTTCTTTCTGCTGAGCTTCCACCTCAATAGAAATGTTGGAGCGACCGTTGACGACGGTAAATCTGGAGAGTTATCTCCTTCTCTCTCTATCTCTCCACCACCCCTCAACCTAAACACTTAGTATCACTATCATCTTCTTTCCCACAGCTATACATCTACAGCATATTAGCAGGGCAATAACAGGCTTCCTCTCTGTTTCCGATCATGATAATAAGCGGTCTAGGTTCTCCCTCATTGGAAGATTATGGCTTTAGGAAATAGCATCAAATAGCGGGTGTGTTGAAATGCGGGACACCGGCAATTTATGGGATGTCAAACACACGTGCGGGCAAGCCGGCAGCCTTCACTCAACTTGTCTGCACCGAGTGAGAGCCCAAAGTCAATACTGTAGCTGGGGGGCAGTGGTGTTGCTCCTTCCGACCCAGTTGGTTCAGGCCAGGCTGAGCCGGGGTCAGGGCTGGTATCCCTCAGGGATCCTTGGTAGGCACACTCAAACTCAGATACACACATGCATAGAGTCACACCCTCAGGTGCCGAGTATTGTCACTATCTGTCTCCCTTGAGTATTGTGTTTCTGTGTGAGTGTGTGACAGTTCCATCACTCCCACAGTCGGCTCATCAGCTTGGTCGCCCCGCTCATCTTTGCAGCCTGGCTGTGTTTCTAATTGACATTCTAATTGGCAGATTTGAATGCCGTCTTTAGATGGCTAATTAATTTATCTCACCGCTGTCATTAAGGTTAAAGCACCATCTGATCTCTGCGAATATACTTTGCATATATCTGCATTATCATTATGTTGCAGTTAGACATATTGCACAGATTTTATTTTGGAGGAGGGAGGGAAGATTCTGGGGTTGAGATTAGGCTGGATTTTGGGCTTTTATTGTTTGTGTATTAAATTCAAATTATGAACTCATTATTTTTTTACTCATGCAAAGATGGCTGATTGCTTAATTCTTAGCCTTTTTCTTTTTATGATATTCATGTTTTATATATCAATAATCATACACACGCACATTATAATCATATTTCATTTGATTGTTAATAGTAGCAATATTCCTTGGACTTTTTTTTTTGCAGTTTGCATTGCATTCAGACGTTATTAAAAATCCTTATTTCCTTGTCTCATATATCTTCAAGTTGTCCGAACCATCCATCCCTGGTCCAAGAAAGAAAGCAGGAAAAAAAGGAGATATCCAGGCTCCATTAGAATGTTCATAAAATTGTAGTAAAGGCAATCAGACAGTCTTTCTCTGAATATTTTAAACATCGGGCATGTAAAATTTATGCCTAATTTGAATACTTATTAGCCGGCTGATCTCGGGCTGCAGCCTTGAGTTTCTTATGCTGAGATTCATCACTGGATTGGATGTCACATTGTGCCCCCCCCCCCCCCCCCCCCCTCCGCCACCACCTTCCTCCCTCCCACTCAGTCTTCCTTTCTCTCTCTTTCACTCTCATTCTTTTCATCTGTCTTTCTCCGTCACCCCCCTATCCCACCCTCCTCTCTCTCTCTCTCTCTCTCTCTCTCTCTCTCTCTCTCTTTCTCTTTCTCTCTCTCTCTCTCTCTCTCTCTCTCTTTTTTTTTCAGTGTGTCTCTCTCCATCAGTAGTGAGCGGCGCGGTGTTAAACAGGGGCCTGTTTGTTCACAAGCACGCCTTGTCCTGGCCTCTTCCCTATTTACTTGTGTCCCGGGCAGCTGTCGCCCTGCTCTGTGTAACAGCTCAGCCCTGTTTGTTCTCCCTGCCTGGATCCTGTTTATCCTGGCTGTGGACATCCTTTAAGGCCTGTCCTGTATCTGCCCCTCGTCAAACACACACACACACACACACACACAAACAGACGCACACACACAAACACATTGAAGGACGTGTACACACCTCCATTAAAATGGTATTTACCGGCCAAAGAATACACACAGACGGTACCCGTGTGAGCTGGGCACCAATGCTCTGAAAAACACATGCACACACACACACACACACACACACACACACACACACACACACACACACACACTCACACACACACAATCATTATTATCATTGGTCCTTCCTTCTTTGTTGCATGTGTGTACGTGGCTTATGTTGGACTCAATAAAAGCTGCAACATTTTTCTAAAATCTGCAAAACTCTCAATATAAATTTTAATTACGGAAATTCTAATTTGCCAAAAAGAGGAAAAGCCATTATCTCGGGTGCATTCCCAGTCACGTTTTGTTGGGTCTGAGGTGTCTTTTATTTATTGTGAGGATGTCGAGTGATGTCGCTGGGCTCCTCTCTGCCCCAGTGAAGGTACAGAGCATTAAATGCAAGGGGGAAATGATAAAACATTTATTACTGGAGAGAGAGGAGGTAATATACATAATTTATGCTGTTTTTAGCACAATCATTAGTGATATTCGTGATAGATTTTTCCCCCCTTTCTTTCCTCTCTCTTTCTCTCACTTTACATATTCATGCACTGGAAATTAACACAAGATCATATATTTGTTTACAGTCAAAATTTTCGTCTTCCTCTACAGAGTTTGATTAGAGCTCCATATGAGTTCAATTGTGTCCCATTAAAAGAAGCAATGCAAAAAACAGTGACAGAATTTGAGGCATACAGGGGTTTGATTGAGGCTGCAGGTTTTATTTAGCCACAGCAAAGATGACAAACCCATTACAGCCCTGCACCATGTGATTCGCTGCCTCCTCCCCCCTCCTCCAAATTTTAATTTTGCATGATTAGCTTTGCGTCATTAGGCAACTTCATTCACATGCGACACACACTCAGAACCTGACAGCGTCAAGACGGGAAAGGTTTCAGAGGAGCCTGTGCTTAAATGTTTCTGTCTGTGTAGGCTGACTGACTGAAAGCGTGAAGGAGATATAAAGAATTGAGCTCAAATTCATCTATAAACCCTTTAATTTGTTTTGTCAAAATTCCAAATAAGTATATTTTATTTAACAATAATATCAAATTTAATATAACATCAAACGCCTACATCTATGCTGAAATTTTAGTGAATAAAGCCATGTAAAATAACCCTTCCCATTTCAAACAGCACCAGGACGTGCATCTCTTTGTATTGCTTCATTTACACAATGAATGCATAATTGCTCCTCCTGCATCCAACCCTCCCCTCTTCCCTCTTTCCTTTCCCCCCTCCCTCTTCTTTAAATGCTTTAATTTGCAGAGGGGGACTGTGGGCTTGATAATAGAAGCATAACAAAAAAAAAATAGGAGGAAAAAAAAAAGGGGGGGGGGGGGGAATTGTAACAAGAAGAGCCCTAACCGGTGCCTCTTAATCACTTCTAGGTTTTAAATCATGATGATGCAGGAGTCGGCCACAGAGACAATAAGCAACAGTTCAATGAGTCAAAATGGAATGAGCACCCTAAGCAGCAGCCAATTAGAGGCTGGCAGTAGAGATGGGAGATCAAGCGCTGGTGACACGAGCAGCGAAGTAAGCACAGTCGAGCTGCTGCATCTGCAACAACAGCAGGTAAGTTGTGTTTCTCCCCCGTCTCGTCTCTCTCTGCCGCTCTCTCGTTCTCTCTCTCTCTCTCTCTCTCTCTCCCACTCTGTTTGCCCCTCGCTCTCCCACTCTTCTCTGCTCTGAGGCAGCGCTGGAGTTTTTTTTTTTGACATAGGCAGGAGGCACAATGAAATACTATTTTGTGTGTTTGTAAATATAGTGTTTTGTGTTGTTTTTTTGGGGGGTGAAAACATTGTCGAAGAAATTGGCTGTTTTTGTTGTTTACAAATGTGTTTGGCAGGTTGTTTTGTGCCTGTAGTGATGAGAGTGTTTAAGTTGTTTGTTCGTTTTTGCTTGTTTTTTTTGTTTTTTTTTGCTTTTAAATTGTATTAACAGAGCCTTACAGACATGTGAGGCATGTGTTTGTGCATGTGTTGGGAGTGCAGGAGAGAAAGAGAACGGGAAAGAGTGTGTGTGAGAGCAATCGTACGTACGGACCAGCCTGAGAACTGAGAGTGTGTGTGCGTGTGTGTGTGTGTGTGTGTGTGTCATGGCAGTGCTGTATCCACCAGAGGGCCTCCTAACTCGGCTCACACAGATACAGACACACCGGCGGCAGAAAAACCTTTGACCGGGACACTTTAGGAAGCAAAATTTGCATGCAGTTGCTCTGTTTTACTTTACCTCAACTAGAAAGTCATTTAGAGTTTTTTCAACCTCACTTTAAGATTATTTTCTCTCTGACTGACATGATAGTACCATTCACCTCTGTCATTTATTTTACCTTTCCTTTTTAATCCAAGGCAAAACTTTCTAATTCTTGATCTCTTAAGCTTCTCCTTTTTCACATCCATGTTGTATTGTTTGGCTCTATTCTTCTCAGTTGGAGCAAGTTGGGGGTGAGCGGGCTACAGGGACGGTGCTTGTGTGTGTGTGTGTGTGTGTGTGTGTGTGTGTGTAGTGAGAGGGGGGCAGGAGTTGTGAAAGTCAGTCACCAGCAGAGTAAAGGAGTCAAGTGTCTCTCTTGTCTTTTCACGGTGAATGATGGCTTTGACAGTTCGCCAAAAGAGCAGTGGGAGACGGGGTCAGAGGGTCGTGCTCCGGGGCTATCGGGGGACAACGCCGCGGGTTTGTAATGATGCACGCTGTCCTTTCGTGTTGTTGGGAATTTTCATGCATTTTTTTTCTTTCCTACGTGGGCTTGTGTGTACACTCTTGCAGCAGCTGAACGCCTGTGGACAGTTTTGGTCCAATAGATAAAGATGTGTGTATGTGTGCTAAAGGGGATGTTTGGTGTAGCAAAATTCTCCACCATTCCCATGCCCCCCATCCCATCTCAGCACCCGTGCTCCATCCACAACACGACCCCAGCGGTGCTGCTGGTGGCCTCAGCAGCAGCAGCAGCAGCTCTGTAGCCTTACTCCCCATTTATCACCACTCCACCACTCTTCCTACACACACACACAGACACACACAGACACACACCTGATTGGGGTCAATTCTCTCCCTCTCTCAGTCATCATTCTTTTACATTTGAAGGAGGAGTGTTCTATTTGTGTCGATGCTCTGCAGATAGAGGCAGAAAGAGAGAGATATAGTGCAGGATAAGAACTGCTGCGCCAAAGACCAAGCATTGTGTTGGACTAGTAAACATCAGGACTTTATTCTTCCTCTTTTTTTGCATTTTATTCAGGATTTTTATTGGTTTTAGCTTTTATATTCTATTAAATGTCTTGTGGCTGTTTTGTTGAAGCTTGACAACATATCAGATAGACATTTACAGATCATATAAAAAAAACAATTCATGTATTTTTGATTATAAACAAAGGGAACAGTCTAAAACCTGCTCTTTAATGTAAAGTGTCCTGAGATTAATTGATGCCTTATTCATATAAATCGATTGAAATTTGTTTCAAACTTTTGTCAGATGAAAAGGTGCAGGAAAAGATTTGAGAAGTGTTCTGTGACTCTTTCTCTGAGGAAAGTGCCTTCATCTTGGTGAAACATTTAGAGATGTAATGAGAACCAACATGAGACTAAGTGTATCACGAGCAGCGATATGTGTGGTGAATGCATGTGTATTAATGTAAACCCAGTAAGTCGTCTAAAAGTGAAGAAGCCGTGTTAAAAAAAAAAAACCTCGGCATGGAGAGAGAAAAGCGACGTAAGCATAAAGTGTGTAGTTAAATCTCTGAGACTGACGTACGGCCGAGAGCTCGTAGTGGTGGGTGGGGTTGGGAAGAGGATGTGACAGTGTGCGCCTTGTAAAAAGAGGCCAGCCCGAGCCCTTCTCTCCCCAGCCCAGAGACAGACACATTGAAATGAGCAGTCCAGCTAACAGGTCTCTGGAGGCTTTTTAAAACAGGGGGCCCTGTGCTGTTAACTTCACACACACTTCCTGTGCCGAGAGAGAAAGCGTGGTCTGAGAAAGAAGACGAAACATGGAGGGGTTTTTTATTTTTTTTCTCTACGCATAAGTTAGCAGAGAGACTTCCTATTTTGCAGCTGTAAGCTTAAGCTCATCTGAAGAAGGGTGAATGTGTGTATGAAGCATGCATTTGTGTGGTCGTATTTTCTTCTTTTTTATTTTCTTTGCACCTGTGAGCAGATTTCTTTTTTTTTTTTTTTTTTTAATGAAATAAATTCCAGCCCACGCCTCTCTCTCCGCTCTGAGTCCATTTTGAAGGAAGGCTGTTGGGTGTAATTTTCCACCCATATTTGGAATGACATTGAGTGGTCCAGTGGGCATAGAAGCTCCGGTCTCTCATCACGCTGCTGGGGGGATGATTAATAATAAGCACTGATGAATTCTCCACTGTCCCTGTGGGTTCTGCCATTACCTTAGCAGCTCCAAAATACCACCTGCAGCTATAATTAGAAGAGCAGCATCTTAAGGTCTCCTCGCCTTAGATTCAGCCAGGTTACACAGGAGTAATTTTACCATATTCAAATATTGACAGTGATTTTCCCCCTTTTTAAATAACCAACATGTGTTTGTATTTGCCGTCTCTATATTCTGTTTTAATGGAGGTTGTTGTTTTCCTTATAGAAGCCACACACTCCCTTATCCATGCATCTGAATAATAACCATTATATCACAATTGAATTTCCAACCCCTAATTTTCTGTCCGGGTTTCATCACCCCATTCCCAAGGTTGTCTAAATAGACCTAATTTGATTTGAGATCACAGATTAGATACCCACTGTATCTGATTGCAATTTGCCAGCTCCAGATATGTATCACAGCAAATGATAAATGTAGCACAGCCTTAATTACTACGCTAAAATGATCACTATAAAAGCCCCCCCCCCGCTTTAAAAATGTGCTGAGCTCATATTAGCAATCCATCTATCTTCCACTAAACTAAATCTTACGTTTTAATATTAGATGCAGCTGTGTATGTATGTGAGAGCTATGCATTGATCTTTGGATCTATAAGGTAATGTCCCATAATGAGGCTGTTAGTTGATTACAGTGGTCTGTGGACTTAATCCTGCACCGGGTTATCAGTGGGATTGATGAGCCAATCCTCAGGACCCCTCTCCCCCCCCCACTTCTCTAAATGGACTGAGTACTTTAAGGAGTTTATTGATATTCAGAGCAAACTGGAAGCCCAGGTTTATCTATTGAGACTGGGTCAGTTGTTCTGTCACAACGGCAATCACTGACAAAAACCCAAACAAAATAGTTTTTAAGATACATTTTTTGGGTACCAAATCCTGACAGCTATTTGTTATTTGTTGCTATTGTTTGTAACGCCGATTTGTGTTCACATTAGATTATTTTTTTCATGCAAAATGCTATCATTTGCGACAATATTTGTATTAACTTTTTGCAGTTAACAATAGATGGTCGTCTCAGTTTACATGTTGGTGAACTACTTTAGAATGCACTGTGTTCCAGAGGCACATGATGCGGGAAAAATGCAAACCATCCAACCCCATTTAAATGACTGCAGCGTTTTGACATAAATTACCGCAAGTGCACTGAGGTGCCATCTTACTCCCAGGCTAACCCTGTCGCTACACGGGAGTTAGGCAGTGGTCCAACTTGAGAGTGACAGCAATTAACCTGCCTTCCTCACTGTTTAGCTTCAGGAAAAGGAAGGGATGAGAAATCTGACAGCTAGTGATGGGTAATATTTAGGGTTTAGGGGCAAATGAAATTCTCCCCAAAAATGAAAGTCATTAGGGAGAAAGTTAACCAACAGACAAAGGACGAAAAGACAGCGTGTGTGTGTGTGTGTTTGTGTGTGTGCGTGTGCGCTTTTTTTTGACTGACGTGTGAGCGCACCTCCCTCTTATAACAACTCAAGTTTGTCGTTTAATGCAGGTAAATACAAAAAATACTGTCACACAGTGTTCACCTAGCATCACCTCTCACAAACAAGCCTCAAGCATCTTCCTCTCTCCCTGCCCTTCACCTGCCTCTCCGTCTTTCCATGAGAAGACACACACACACACACACACACACACACACACACACACACACACACACACACACACACACACACACTAAGATGCAAATCTGGGCTTTGCCCTTGAGCATAATTTAAAGGCCTAATCACCCAGACTGTCCCTTTTGGATGGAAAAGGGAAAGAGGGAGGTAGGGAGGGGTGGGAGGATGGTGTCTCTCATTTGCACTCTTACACAAAGAAGCTCATTAGGTTTATCTTTCAGGCCTGAGATTGCCCCACTCAACTGTGTAAATAAGACACCGGCCCCGGCCTGACGCATCAATCACCTCTCAGGACAGAAGACAGACCTTGGCTGAAATATGAACGAATTCATAAAGGAGCCTTTTGTTGGCCATCATCATCATCTGTGAGAAGATAAGGGCGTCCTGTAAAGGCTGGAGAGGCATTAGAGAAGCGGCATGTACTGTATGTCTTTGTAAAAATGATTCCCCCTTTCAGTGAAAAGACATCTCTTCTCTGGCACTCCTTGTGTTGGAGTTATTTACAATGAGAGCCATCCTTCTTTTTATTTCAAGCCTGGCTATTGGCAGACGGTCCCTACAGGATAG